CGGTAAGGGCCCTTGTATTTTTATTTTGCACTGGGCTGCATGAATCATGTACCCAATCTTGCCATTAGCATGCAAGGTCCAGCCTTCTTTTGTTCCTTCAAATACCCTAAGTTTTTCCCCTTTTATTCACTTGATTAACTCTTCTATTACCTCAGTTTATTATCTTCTCAGAAAGGCCTCACTTGAAAACCCTGTTAGGGATCTTAGTTCCTTTCCTGGTCATCATCACCATTCTGTATCTCAGCCCTTTGTTCGTTCCTTTATAAAAATGAAATTGTATTTTGTTCACTTTTTAAAAATGATTTAATTCCATTTGTTAGTATTTTTTTTTTTTTAATTTGACCAGAGACAAAGGGAAAATGAGAAAGCAAGCTGCCAAGGCTGGGACTTGAACAGCAGTCACCCATGTGGGAATCCAGCGCCTTTAAACACCATGCCATCTGCCAATCCCTTTTTTTTCACTTCATTTGAACCCTTCTCACTAGAATCAAGAATGGGACTTCTATGACGGAAGGGACTGTGTGGTATTGTTATACCCTAAGCATCCAGCATGAAGCCTGAAAAATACTAAGTAGGCTTTCCATAAATACTCAGGGTAAAATCAGAGCTTGAGATAAAGCAGTGATACCTGGAAAATGCACTGACCTCACCACAGCTGACCATTCCCGTGGTTCCATCATATTCTGTGTACCTTTCTTTTATCTTGTAATGTTGTACTATTTACATGAATCTGTTTTCTCTCATTTTCACAAAACCCAACCATCTATTCATAAATCTCTCCTTCCCAGTCCCTGGCTAGACATTGAATGGCATGTGGTAACTTGTTCATTACAAATACAAATGGAAACCCTGCCATATTGTCTGTATTCACCCAGCACTATAATTCCCTCCCACATTTGAGAATCGTGCTTCTCAGGGTGTCCTTTTCTGTACAAGCTGAGTTTGTTGCCCATGTTTTCTCAAATAAAATAGAAAGCTTACCTGCTCCAAGTTTCAGTCCTTAGTCCACTTGTATCTATTTCAATTCACTTTGGTGATGTCAGCCAAAATCATAGCTTTCAAACCTACCCCACCCACAGCCTTAGAAGAATTCCATCTTTCTAGCTGGTTGGCACAAAACTTTTTTTTTTTTCTCTTTATTACTAACATCCAATCCAATAAAGAAATCCTTATGGTTCTACTTTTATAATATATTTAGACTATGTTTATTTTTACCATCTTCACTGCTACCACACTGATTCAATTCTTCCTTATTTCTTACCTGGATTATTGGAATTGTTGAGTTCATCTTGCATTTACAGTTCTCTTCTCATGGTCCATTCTCACCATGTACCAGGGTAATGATTTTAAAAATAAGTCAAATCATGGACTCTATTGCTTCAAACCATGCAAAAGTTTCCCATTTCAGAGGCAAGTCAAAGCTCTTATCCGACCTCACCTCTGTGACCTTCCCATTTCTTCCTCTGTTTGCAGCCGTATTAGCCTCCATGTTCTTCCTCACACAGGCTTCCCAGCCGCTACATAGCCCCAGCCAGGTGCTTCTTTTAGTGTGTTTATTCTGAGTTTTATGCCTAAAGTCAGACATGTGTTCACAGGTATGTATATGTCAGGTGAACTTGATATTGAATGTATTTAGATTATGATAGTTTGTGAATCAAAATGTGGGGTGGGGGAAGGCATGGAAAACTATAGATACCAGAGATACTGTGGGAAGAGGATGAGAAATGGTAAAAGATAACAAATAGAGAATTAAGGAGAAAAGAAGAAAAAAAAGCAAAAATATGTAAGAAACAAGAAATGAAAAATTATTTGTTGATGAAACATGTATGGTAATATCCTTGATTAAGCCAATATACAGTGTACTCTGGACGGAAATTGCATTTTGCATGCTGTGAAGATGTACAGATAATGAATGCAAAATAAAATAAAAAGGGTTTCTGTAAATAACCCAGAGGGCTGATGCACTAGGTCTAGTGTAAGAGTTGACAATACGCATTTGTTTTTTTTTTTTTCCTGGAGAGGTTTTAGTTTTAGGGCGCGTGTGCTCACCAGACAGACAAGAGACAGAGAGACAGAAAGTGAGAAATCACCCCCCCAGGGGGGTGGCCACGCCTCAATCCCTTCTCCTCCGTTCTCCTCTCAGGATCTTGGGCACGCACACACACGTGCCCAGCGTGAGTTTTAAGCCACCGGGTCCGGGACGTGAACCACAGTCGACTACGTGGGAGTCCAGTGACATAGCCATTACGCTAACTGCTGGTCCCAACAATATGCATTTCTAACAAGTTTCCCAAAGAAGCTGCCACTGCTGGCATAGAGAACCACCTTTGAGAACCACTGTCATATGACTTCCACAGAAAATAACATGCTAAGATAATCTCCTACACATCTAACATAATAGTTATGTACCTTTCAGGGAGAACTGTGAACAGTCCAGATGAAAAAAGCTGTGACATATCTTCAGGACTACTTTTCAAACCTTTGCCCAATGTCATCTCCTTAATGATAGCTATCCATGTGGGCCTTTTTAACAGTGTGAGGTCTTCCCGCCCCCATGTTTTCTCAACCCCTCTTGCCTCGATTTCCTTTTCCCACAGCCCTTACGATCCAACAATGCTGTGATTTACTTATGGTTTACACTCTCTCTCAAGAAGGTAAACTCCAAGAAGGTATCTTTGAATTTTATCCCAAGGACTTAGCAGACTTTCAAAAATATAAAACAAGGGCCCACGGGTGATGTGATGGTTAGGACAACTAGATCCCATATGGCTGACTCTGCACTTCGAGTCCTAGAACTGGCGGCTTGAAAAACCCACTAGGCACGTATGCACATGTGCCCAAAATGACAAAAAAGAAACAAATGAAGAAGGGATTGAGGCATGGCCATCCCCCATTGGGGGGGATGCTTTCTCACTTTCCCCGTCTCTCTGATGAGTGCACATGTCCTCTGACAAAAATTTAAGATATATACACATATATACAGCAAACATTTAAATTGAAAATAAACTGAGTAATTTTTTCAGTAGAATGTAAACTATTTTGTTTTCTGTTTTTCAAGATTTTTGCCATAAGGAACATGCACTTGCCAGAGACAGACAGACAGTGAAAGGGAAAGTGAAAAATCACCCCTGCGGGATGGCCACACTGCAATCCCTTCTCCTCTATTTGCCTCCTGCAATCTTGGGGCACCAGTGCATACACACCCAGCATTGAGTCTTAAGCCACTCGATCCAGGACTTGAAGTACAGTTGGTCATGTAGGAGTCCAGCACCTTAATCACTACACCACCTGCTGGCCGCAAATATAAACTGATGTGTTAAAAATATACTGTAAAACTACAAGTGTTCATAAGTGAAAACAGGAGTGAAGAAAAACAGATTTTTGAATCGAAAAGACCTGAATTCAAAAGTCAATTTCACAATTTACCAGCTAAATTTATACTAAGACGAATGGCACCTTTCTGGAACTCAGAGATTTCATTTTTAAAATGGTGGTAACAGAAGGCAATGGTCAGATTTAGACAACTATATACAAAACGGTATAGTTCTTGTCATTAAAGAGCTCAATAAATAGTTCTTCTGCTTTCAAATCTCATCTCCTCTAGCTCACATTTCATTAGAAGTGCAAGTTAACAACTCGTTATTTTTGTTCCAGAATTACATGAACAGGCACACTTTAAAAGCCATCTCGGGACCAGCAGTTGGTGTAATGGCTATGTCGCTGGACTCCCATGTAGTCGACTGCAGTTCAAGTCCCGGACCCAGTGGCTTAAACTCATGCCAGGCGTGTGTGCGTGCATGCCCAAGATCCTGAGAGGAGAATGGAGAAGAAGGGATCGCAGCATGGGTATCCTCCTAGGGGGTGATTTCTCGCTTTCTGTCTCTCTGTCTTTCTGGTGAGCACACGTGCCCTACAGCAAAAACCTCTCAAAAAAAAAAAAAAAAAAAAAAAAGAAGAAGAAGAAAACAAATCTCTAATGACTATAGAACTCCATTTTAAAATCCAACATAAGGGGCCGGCCAGTGGCATGGTGGTTAAGGTGCTGGACTTTCACTTGGCCAATTGTGGTTCAGGTCCCAGAACTGGTGGCTTATTTTCTCACTTTCTCTCTGTCAAATTGGAAAAAATATATATATATATTATTCTATTAAAAAAAAGAATTCAACATAAAGGCCTATCTAAACATTACCATTACCTTCATGTAAAATTTTCCAACACACATCAAATATAACATAGACACAATGCACAATGGTAACACAATACTCCACAATGCTGAATCCACACAAGCAGGTCCTGGGTTCACATCCCAAGGTCTCCCTGTGTTTTCTGGATGCATGCATGTGTGCCCATGGTCTGGGCTGGCTGAGGCTGGAGGTGGGTCACAGCATAAGGACCCTGCTGGGAAGGTCCTTGGTCTCTGATGGAAGAAATAAAATTGATTTATATGTAACTATAAATACATACATATATATGTGTGTCTATTTTTAAATAAAATATACAAATATATATAAACATATATTTGTGTGTATATATATATGTGTATATATATTTTAAATTTCTACTGACAATATTGATCCTTAATTATGTTTCTGAAGAAATGGCTATTTGAGTTCTAGTGACCTTTTTAAATGGGACTTAAACCTCACTGTAAAACTAAAACCTCATGTTTTCTATCAGAAATTTGTTTTTTTAATTTGCTAGAGGGCATTTTTGCTTATGAGAGAAAGCACTAGGATTTCAAAGAAAAATGTTTACAAACATGAGTATTCTAAGTCTGTTCAAGACAAACGCCCTGTACAAGAACACTGCAACAATGACAGCTTTCACATCTGTAGTGAGACACGTGCATACGGTATTCATATTGCTCACGCAGCACATTCATGCGTGACCTGGTATTGCTGAAATAGAGTCTTTATTTCTGAACATTCCAAAACAGCAGTGTACACAGTAACAAATATTAAGTCATATACCATAAGAAAGCATTCATTAGTGCAAATGGATTTTGTAAAAGGTCTATCAAAAAGATTTATTTGCTTTAAAATGCATTCATTTCCAGAAGCATTGTTAATAAAACATTACAGTTTCATCCTTTGTAATAAAGTGTTGAAAATCAATTGTAGTACAGTAGCAAACATTGCAGGTATTAAGTGCAATGAGCTTGTGATACCATTATAAATATGAAACCCATGTATGACAATAAATTAACAATGAAAAAGACGAGACCATTTAATTTTGCTGTCTGGCTATTACCTTGCAATGCTTCAGATTAGGTTGTGCTCATTCAACATAAAATTATGTCTCTCAAATTGTATGATGTATTTTTGCTGATATATCCCTAGAGCTAAAAAAATAGTACCTTACCACAAAAATAGTTTTATGGCACAAAATTTAAGTTGTTCCTTAGTGGTTCACATAGGTGTAAAAAGAAATAGGCACAAAAAATAAAATTCCTGTAAACTATAAAAAAGTAAATTTCAAAACAAACATTATAGAACCTAGTTGTAAATATGCAGTGTATTAAAATACAGAACATGTAATGGAATGATGCTTAGAACATGTAAGTAAATTGAACAAGTTACTTTAAAAAACGCATGAGGCAAAGCATTATTGATACATCTCAGTTCTCTCAAAAAGTATTCAGATACAGAGCAGTTCTACAAAAACGTCCTAGAGCTAAGAGTCACAATACTGCAACCGTGAATTTGAGAACGCTGCAGTATTTCAGGCAAATATTTAAGTGCAATAATTAGTCTCTGGTGATTGGTCCATTGAAAAACAATGCAGTGAATATGTTAAAATGCCAAAGGGAAAGAATATCCCAACATCCGCTGTTACCCAGCCAGCTAGGTAACACAACCCTCATTTTCACGTCTTTCCCATTCTTCAAGGGTATATAAAACTGCATCAGTAGCAACCGTCTCTCCAGTTCCCATCCCTCAGAGTGCTGAGTGAAGACAGAGGCTTTGGAGGCTGAAGGAAACTGTACAGGGATGACGAAAAGAAACATGGTCAAAACTCCCACGAATTTCATCACTTCCTTTGACCTCCCCTCCCCTCCCCCGTCAGTGCTGCTCCCCTACTGCACTGTCCCAAGTGTGCCTTGCCTTTTACTTTTCTTTTTTGTTTTTGAGAGGTTTTCGCTATAGGGCGCGTGTGCTTGCCAGACAGACAGAGAGAGAGACAGAGAGACAGAAAGGGAGAAATCACCCCCCAGGAGGATGGTCATGCCGCAATCCCTTCTCCTCCATTCTCCTCTCGGGATCTTGGGCACGCACCCACACGCGCCCGGCATGAGTTTTAAGCCACCGGGTCCGGGACGCAAACTGCGGTCAACTACGTGGGAGTCCAGCGACATAGCCATTACGTTAACTGCTGGTTCCCGCCTTTCACTTTTCTGAGCTCTCACAGGCACGCTTGGTGCGAGACCACAGGGGTGCGCGTGTTGTCTGTATACAAGTACATCTGCAACATGATCAATATCCTTAATGTACCAAGAGTATTTTTAAGTAAGAAAAAGATAAATTCCTTAATATAAAAATGACCACACAAATGGTTACACTTCAGTGAATTCAAATAGCAAATTAACATGAAGAAACTTCGAACCCTACTAATAATGAAATACTGGCCTATTTTTAAAAGTATTGGCAAAAAAAATTTAAAAAAGAATGACAGGGTCAGTCCCACAGCCTAGTAGTTAAGGGAACCAGATCCTACACAGCCAACCACAATTTTAATTCCAACCCCCATGGCCTGAAAAACATGCCCAGCACGTATGCATCCACGCCCCAAATCCTGACAGACGGAGAAGTGGAGAAGGGATTGCCGTATGACCATATCCTACTGGAGGATGCTTTGTCCCTCTCTTTCATACTCCTTATGTCTCTCTCTCTGGTGAGTACATATTCCCTCTGGTAATAAAAAAAAAAAAAA